CAGCGTACCTCGCGTGTCGTGCTCCAAAGTCAAGATATACTGAAAGCCGGAGCAGCCACCTCCTTCAACGGCCACGCGCAGGTACTGCTTCGGGTTCGCCGTCGTGTTCAACTTGTTCAGTTGCTACGCGGCGTTAGCCTACAATGCGTCGATGCTGCATGTACCTTGACAGCGTCCCGTGTGATGATGATGTCGGGCAAGTTGAGGTTCGACGAGAAGTGCCGGCGCGCTGGCGGGCGGCGCGGCCAAGACCACGGGTGATGGAGCGAAACATGGTGGCGGCAAGGAATGCCCACGAAGCAATCCTGACGTGCCAATCACCTACGCATTCTCAGCATCGCAAATGATTGGCTTATTTTAAGCATTTTACGCCAATCCCCGCTTAGCTACTGAAATAGTGTGGAACATTCACTCCAAGGCTGGTCCGCAGGCACATCAGACGAACGCAATGCAGGAGCTACAGACCCGGTAATGCAGGCAGATGCGATATCTTTGCGAAATATGTTCTTGCTAATAGTGTGCGCTACAGACGTGTCTGTCTCCACGGCTGACGTGCCCGGTGTTGACGGCTACACGTCCAATACACACTATTACCGATTGATATGAACAAAAATTGAAATAGACTGCAGTGTGGATTGTTTCAAGCTTCTCACCAAGTTGAGCATCACGTCATGATTCTGGTGACCTCTTACACTATAGTGTAGGAGGTCATCGTGTAGTATATGTTAGACTCTGCGAACAAAGCAGAGAAGGACTACGAACAGGTTTACGAAGGGCCTGTGCGGACCCACGCCTCAACAAGCACTGCCTTCGCTCAGTAGCAGCATCCAAACTCTTCAGCCCAAGATGGTTGTATCATCATAAGATTCCAATCCCCTTGGCTGGTGCGTTCGGTGCAACTACTGTACATGCCGGTAATGTACAGTACACCCTTCTTCTGTGGTCATTCCCAGTCGCCAAGCTCTGCGACCTAGTACACAGTACAAATAAACTGTAGTAGCAGATATCGTCGCGCGTGGTGGGACGTGCCACAAAGGCGCGCCGAGAGGCGCCCCTCGAGTGCACATCGGCACAAGAAGTAGCTCGGCTCTGGCTGATGTACTGCTGGGCATGCGTACTGGGCATGGATCAAGCGATTTTGCCGTTTTCGAACCTGCCCCACGCGACGCGTTCGATTTTTCATATACAAAGATTAAGTGGATCCAAAATTCGAAGCCGCTGAATATAAAAAAAGTTCTAGACAGAGGTGGATTGGGCTGCATATAAAACACCCGTATAGAAGCAAAAAATCATCATTTTCGGATAGATCGTCGCATGACGAGGAAGGACGTGTTAAGCGGGTCGCCCAACGGCCTCAACGTGCGCGTGACTGTGCGATACCCCGCGCCCGAGGATGCGACGGTGCGCGACGTTCTTGGTCTCTTCCGCAGCGCAGCTTGGGTCAACTTTATGATCCGGTACGTCGTGCCATATCTCAAGACGTCGACGCCCGTCAACAAGGAGGTCCTCGCCAGCCTCGAACACGTGAAATGTGCTGGCGACGACGAGTGTGTCATTTGCATGGGTGCTATGAAGGATGCTGTAAAGCTGCCGTGCGGACACCTCTTCCACACGAACTGCATCGACGCTTGGTTGCGCATGCGTAGTACCTGTCCAACCTGCCGCCACCGGCTCCAGAACGAGTTCTCGGGGCGGTACGCTTTTCGCGGCATCAACACGGCACTCATTGTCGAAGACGTCGATGATACTATCGCCCCCTCGGCCCTGCAGGCTTTTGATCTGAGCGGAAAGACGGTCAAGGCCATTGTACACGTGTCGCTCGTCCCAGTCGCGCACTTTTCGGAGCGACAGACATTTCCTTGCGAGCTCAACGCGGTCGTCGTGCCACAATCCACGCTTGTACAACACATAGAAGCCCGCGTCGCGAAGCGTAAAAACAGCGCTGTCGCTGTCGACACGAAGTATCCGCGCGTCGTCTAAGCTGCATGTACCAAGCAAGGCAAGTTCTAAATAGCATACAAGTGTACCGGTATCCGATCTGTCGGAATAAAGTATAGTGCATGTACTGTATTTATGTTAGCGTTATTAAATAACGTTTGTCGTGCATCACATCATCTGTCGTCATCGAACGAGTCGATTCACGAGTACCGGTCAACTGAGTACCGGTACCGTACAGTGCCAGAGGTGCCCTGGTGAGAGCTCCTGTCGGGACGTAAGACTCAGTACAGTAAGCAAACAGGGTGTCAGCCGATGTTGCACTTCAATCAGTGCTCACTTACGACCAGCTAGCGTCGTCCATGTCCTTCGGCTTCAAGGACTGTCCGTACCCTGCTCCTAGCGCGCTACGATCTCCAGCACTTATTAGATTCCGTTCTCAACCCCGTGTCTGGCTCGCAGTAGGCTTCACAACGTGATAAGTGGTGTGCTTTATTTCATGGTTGGGTTTCCCACCTCCGTATTTCCTGCAAAACCATTGTGGGAAACGTGAAATTCACGTTTGTCACGCTGAGTCATTACACTGTACACACTCACGCAGTGGTGACGCCAACGCAGCTCTGGGGGCGACCACAATGTATGTACATAGGATGCATGTCGCGCACGATACGTTTACATCAAACGAGGGACGTCCCTTCGCACAAGCAAACAAGGTGCAGGCGCCGGACGCGCAGAGTGGCACGAGGTATGGCATTTCGCACATTCCGTCCACTCACCACTGGCAAGCGGCAATTTGACTCTGACGCTTCGATCCACCCAACCCCGTCCCTACAACAGCAACAAGAGCAGCACTGGGGAGATACTCTTCGCTCGTAGCAGCACTGGGAGCATATATATGCCACTTGTAAAGACACGGAGTCAGACCGGCCAGACAGGCCGTTG